TATGTAAATAATAAATATATATTTATTTAATAATATTATATCATATTTCTAAATCATTATTAGCACCTAACATTATTTGTATCTAAAATGACATAATTTTCCTAGAGATTCCTTTGGAATGTCAATATTATAGCACTGAATACAATACAACAATAGGAAAGATAGACAGAATAGATACTACAAGTTAGTGAATTCTTTATTCTACTTTATTATCAAATATATTATAACATATTAGTTTTTTATTACATTGTGCTAATGTTATTAAAGTCATAGAAAATAGTATTAGTATTATAGTACAGTATTACAATAGAGATGCTATATATAAATATAATATTAATAATTAATATTAATAATTCATTATTAAATGTAAAATCATTATTTTGTTGCTTACAAATAATATATTTCATTGTTTTCACAGATATCCCAACAGCAGGAATTTATAAAGATTTGGATAAACTTACTGCTTACAGTCTTATACATCCAAATATTTTTACAAAACATGGTCTTAGCTACACAGATCTCTCTAAAGTAAATTTAAATATATATTTATATAATATTTTGAAATTTAAATTTTATAATATAAATATATGCATTGTTAATTAAATTTCAATTAGCTTCGAAGCAAAGAAGAAATAAGAAGTATTTTTGAAGCTATTGGAATTCAATTCCCTAATAATAGCTTTGATTTGTTATGGGAAAAAGGATTAAAAAAAAGTTGCACAGATAATGTATCTGTAGAAATTTTTATAAATTTGCTTGATGAATATGATGATATAATTAATAATAAAATTAATTAAATACAAAATATCTTTAGAATCCAGATATAATAATACATATAGATATACGCAATATCTAATTAAAATATATTTAAATATTTACTTACATTTTAATACTTTTATACATTTCAAGTACAAATTTTGTTGCAATATATAAATATGAAAATATGCAATATGAAAATATAAATTCTTCTTTATGAAATTATATTGTACAATAAAATTAATTATATACTGTACAATAAAATTAAAAGTTATCATATTATTCTTAAACAAAAAATATTTATGTAAAGAACTTATTTAAAATTATATACATATATAAATATGATTTATATTAAATACTAATATTGTGGTTTTAAAAATTTTGGTTTTTTTGGTAATGGTTCATGATTATTATTATTATGTTTTTGTAATGATTTTTCATATTTATGTTCATTTTTTGTTATTTTTCTATAAGTTTTCCAACTTTTTGCCATTTGCTCATCTGAAATATCTGTTTCTTTTTGTACTTCCATTTTAATATTTTCATTCTTTTGTTCTGCTTCCATTAATTTTTCTATTTCAGGATTCATTCCTTGAAAACTTACTCTACCATCAATTAACTTTTCACAGAAAACATAACTAGGTTCAATGATAAATCTTTCTCTTAAAAATAAAAAAATATATTTAAAAATATATATTTTTATACTAAAAATTGGATATTTTCATAAATTAAAAATATCCAATTAATAATAAAATAATTAAATTTATTATTTAAAATATTTTACATTTAAAAATTGAAGAAAACTTACGAATCTTTCTTCATACGTTTTGTTAATTCATTTCCAAAATATTCTTCTCCCTCT